CATAGCTTCTGTCTTCTGTAGGCGCAGGAGGAGGCTCGGCGGAACAGGTTAATGAGAGACATGGCTCAGCTCCGGCTTCAGGTAGGAAGTGGGGCCAGGTGCTCCTCCTGCTCTTGGCCCAGCTTTTGCTTGAACCTCATTGGTGGATCTCACTCTAGTTGCAGACCCCTGCTCTGTGCCACTGTGTCCCTCAGCTTCACCTGGATCACCTTTCTTGCCTTCCAGATGGGTCTCCTCATTGCTCAGGGCCTCGCTAAGTTGTTGAGGCTGGCTTTGAACTTGTGATCCTTCTGCCTGAGCCTCCCAAGCCCTGGGATTACAGGCCCTGGATGCACATCACTGCCCTTGGTGTTAACTTATCCTTTCTTCCTGTCCACTTTCCCCTGAGGTCACTGGTATAGACTTTGCTGTCCCTTTTAGCAAGAGAAGGAGCCACTTATTGCTGCTGCCTGGGTTCTCTTGCTCAGCCCAGGCTGCGGGGCCTGGCAGCTCTTCTCACTGTGTCTCCTCTAACTAGCTCGAGGTCTCTCAGCTGGAGGGCAGCCTGCAGCAGCCCAAGGCCCAGTCGGCCATGTCTCCCTACCTCGTCCCCGACACCCAAGCCCTCTGCCACCACCTCCCTATCATTCGTCAGCTGGCCACCAGTGGCCGCTTCATCGTCATCATCCCAAGGACAGGTAAGCATTTTGGGAGGGAGGAGGAAAGATACATGTGTGCCTAAGACAGACTGAGGATGCCAGGTTTGGGGTGACTGGCCTGGGGGCTGGAGGAGAACCGGCAGTTTATACAGTGCCCTTGGTCGAGTGCCGCTACATCTCTGAACCTAGTCACTTCATCTGCGAGATGGCCTTAATAATCTCCATTAAATGCTGTCTCACAAGATGCTGGAATAACCACCGAGAAAAATCTAAATGCAAGCTCTTGGTAAATTGCCGGCAGAAGGTCATGTTCTCAAAGAACTTTAGGAGCCTCGTGGGGCACCACGGGCCCTGTCCCCTGCAGTCTGTGCCAGTGTATGCGCAGATGCTTCCCACAGAGCTCAGGTCAGCAGTTTGAGCTCCTCTGTTTGTCTCTCCCCTGACCCTGTGCCCCAGTGATCGATGGCCTGGACTTGCTGAAGAAGGAACACCCCGGAGCCCGAGATGGGATCCGGTACCTGGAGGCAGAATTTAAAAAAGGAAACAGGTGAGAACATCTTGGCAAGAGTGGGGTGGGCCCTGGCCCACGGTGGGGACAGCACGTGCTTGCAAGCGGCTGGCGTCATGGTCTGCATGCTGCCTAGAGAGTGACATGGAAGAGATCATTGGAAGTCCAGGTCACAGCTGCTGAAACAGAGGGTGACTCTAAAGGCCCAGGGGGAGCACTGAGCTGCTGTCCTTTCACCTCTGGGCAAGTCTGTGGTCAGCAGCACAGGAGAGAAGGGAGCCGTCACCACCCTAGCTCCAGGCTGTGGGCTCCTTCTTGTTGAACTCTCCTGCTGGGAACCAGGGACCACCCAGGGCCTCCCAGCTCCCTACTGAGCCGAGGCTGGAGGCGGGAGACCGCCAGTCAGCGAGGAGCAGATGGCAGCACATGCAGGTTCCCCATCCAGTCCAGCTGCCCTCTGGTCTTTGGGGCTGGAGATCTAGGAGGGGGGTGCCGCCCTCCCCTGCATCTGCSTCCCGGGGCCAGGAGCTCCATGGTGCCTAGTTGTGTGGACCTTGTCTCCAGAAGCCCTGACTTGAAAGCATCTGCTGCTCCCTGCTCCTCCCCGGGAGGAACCAGAGAATGATGTTATCAGAGGAAAGCAGCCAGGCCTAGCGACCAGGAAGCCACTTTGAAACAAGTCTAAAAGATCCTGATGGGAGCAGTGCCACCAGCCAGCCCAGCCCTCCCCMTCTGGCAAAATTGCGACCCCGGGGTTACAATAGTTTTCTTTGTATAAAGTGCCCTTCCTGTCCCCTGACCCTGCCTTGCTCCATCTCTTGCAGGTACATTCGCTGCCAGAAGGAGGTGGGGAAGAGCTTTGAGCGGCATAAGTTGAAGAGGCAGGATGCAGATGCCTGGTAAAATTTTAGCCCTTACCGCTAGAGCCTCCTCCAGGAACCGGCCTTGCTCCTCCGTGGGAAGTCCTGGGCTCCACACCCCCCTGCTAGGGGGCCTCCTGCAGCTCTGGACTTGCCCAGCCCCGGGGCCCTCCTCCCTCTGGATGGGCTCAGCGTCAAGCCCGAGAAGCTTGGGCCTGGCGCTCTGCTCGGGCACGTCTCTGCTRTCTTCTAGCACATCCCCCAGAGCCAGGTTCAGGGCCCCTGCCCCTGGCTGCCTGGCTTCTCTTGCCATTTCCTGGTGTCCTCCCATTCTTAGCTTCCCCTGGCCCCTGGGGACCCTCGTGTTTAGGCTCTGCTGGGTCTCAGTCCGTCTTTTGCTCTTCCCACTAGGACTCTCTATAAGATCCTGGACAGCTGCAAACAACTGACTCTAGCCCAGGGGACGGGGGAAGAGGACCCAAGTGGCATGGTGACCATTGTCACAGGCCTTCCCCTGGATAACCCCAGTGCGCTCTCAGGGCCCATGCAGGTGGGTCACCAGTGACGGGACAGGGTGGACTGTGGGGAAGCAGACCTGAATGGCATCTGTCCTCAATCTCCCAGGCAGATGTCCCTTCCCCTGCCACACCCCTTCCCCAGATCCCAGCAGCTGTCCCGCAGTTCAGGAGGCCAGGCCTCTTCTACCTTTCCTTCCCTCCCTCTGCAGGCAGCCCTGCAGGCCGCTGCCCATGCCAGCGTGGACATCAAGAACGTTCTGGACTTCTACAAGCAGTGGAAGGAGATTGGTTGAGGCTGACCCGAGGCCCTGCAGTGGGGCTGACACCAGATCTCTCCTGCTCTCCCCGGCAGCCGGACCGCCACCTGCAGCCACCCCACCAAACACAGGAAGGAAGCCCAGCTGTGCGGAGCTGAGGGAGGGCCCAGGAGCCAGCTGGGAGGGGGGGTCCCTTGTTGCCAAGATGATGTCAGGAAAGTGAGGAAAGTTCTTGGAGCAGGAGAGGCCTGGGCTGGGCTCCCTGCCAGCCTTCCTGTCTTGACCCTCCTGCTGTCCCCTGAGCAGGTGTCAGGCGGCAGGCATAGGTGTCTGCGTTTCATTGGAGTTGTTCCTGGACCTCTTGAGGGGAAGGGACAGCAGAAGGGGCCCTTCGTTCTACCCGAGGTGCAGGTGGAAGGGGCCAGGCGGTGGACCCTCTGGGCCCTGGGGAGAGTTGAGTACTACAGGCATCGGTGGCTCTTTGCAGACCCTTTCCCTCCTCAGGGACCACCCATCTTCCTTCATCTCCCTTGGGGGGCAGGACTGCTCTGGAGCCAGCTGTGGGGCTCTGTGAAAGCAGGGCCTGGAGCAGCCCRCGGTGTGGCAGGGGTGGGGTCTGTGTCCCCCCTGCTGCGGGAGCCACACTCCCAGTTGCCCCTCTTCTGCTCCCCGTCTGCCTGTCTGGCTTCCAGGGCAGGGGCAGCCCCASGTGGGGCTCAGGCAGGCTGGCCTGTACCAGTGGTGGTTCTGTGCCACCAGCCCACTGCTGTGCTCTGTGCCCTTGGCTGTTGCGCTAGGGCAGGGTGGAGTGCAGGCTGAGGCCACTCCTACTGTCCCAGGGAGGGCCAAAGAGGAGCAGCCAGCATTCAGTGGGCCGTAGAAAGGGAGGCCTGCGGAAGCCGCCAGCCAGGATCACCATCCTGATGGGCTTCCCTCCCTCAGGATTAAAGGTCTGGTGGGCTGAGCATGAGCCGGCTTTTGGAGTGTCCAGGTGACCATGTGGGAGCAGAGATCATGAATAGCTCAGGGCAGTGAATGTCGCACCTAGGAGTGGGGGGCGCTGGCCCGGATACCTCGGCCCTCCCCCCAGGCTGCAGTAGAGCAGGGCTGGGGGCTGGGGAGGAGGGTCTCAGTTCTGCCCCCAGCCCAGCCAGCGCTGGCCTAGCTTCCTGAACTGCTGAGAGGAGAGCTGGCTTCTGGCGGCCACCTCTAAGTGTGTGTCTGGAAACCTGGGGGAACAGTCATCCCCACCCCCAGTTCTTGGCAGAGACTGAGACTAAAGCATCACTTAATAAAGACCCCCGAGCCCGAGCCTGTCTGCCAGAGTCTCACTGGGGAGCTGGGGTATTGGGGATGCTTCTCAAGTGCACCTCAGGAACGAAGTCCCTGGAGATGGCTCTGATTGTCACTCTTTGACCTCATGGCCCCATGGTTTCCTCCCAGGACAGGCCCAAACAATAATTTTGCCTCCGCAGTGCTTCCTGGGTTGGGGGAGAACGGAGCCCTGAAACCAGCCTCAGTGCCTGTCCCGAGGGTCAGCACYCACATGACCCTTGTGTTTGGGGGTAAACAAGCTTGGCACATCCATCCCTGCGGGGAGGTGGCCCCTCCACAGTCAGTCTGCTCTGAGCACCTCCCAGACACCAGGTGCCGAGAGGCTGGAGAGGGGTTGGCGTTTCTGAAATGCAGTCAAAATCCTAGGGGTTTGGAGCAGGCACAGTGGCACACGCCTGTCATCCCAGCACCCTCCAGAGGCTGAGGTAGGACCCCAAATTCAAGACCAGCCTCAGCAGTTTAGTAAGACCCTGTCTCAAAGTAAAAGGCTGGGTCAGTTGTTAGCACCCTGGGTTCAACCTGCTACCAAAAAAAAAAAAAAAAAAAACCCTCTAGGGATTTGGATCCCCTTTTTGGGCCTGAGACTAAACTGTCCACATTCCTTGAACAACTTGGAACCAGGGTGTGCTGATGAGAGGGGACTGGAGTCCACACCACCAGGGCCTGCCCCAGCCAGTCTGCACAGCAAGGCGGGTCCTGCTGGAGGGGCCACTGTTCGCAGGAGGCCGAGTGAGCTGCCTGCTAATGGGGTTGGGCCACCCCGTGCTGCTCCCTAGAGGCTGGACAAGGCTGGGATTGTTCCCTGGCTCCCCCTTGTCTCCCCACTCTCCGCCCAGGCCTGGCCCGGCCCGCCTCCCCAGCACTCTTCTCCCTGTCAGCCTGGCTGAAGGAGCCTGGGACTCCGCCTGAGGAGCCCTGGGTGGCAGAGCCACCAGCTGAGGAGCAGCCCTGCAGCTCTGGGTAAGGAAGCTCAAGACCTGGGCCCTGGCCCTTCCTCTTCTGGGTTCCAGGTGGTGTCCGCCAGACCCTTCATTTCCGTGGCGGAGAGCTCCAAACCCTATTTCTGAGGACAGGGATCCCRAGGGGAGACGGACCCTGTATCATCTCACCTTCCCTATGAAAGGAGGTGGCAAGTGACACCCTGGGGGAGCCCTTTCTGTTCATGTGGGGTGTAGGGACCAGGCACCCTTGTTCCCAGCCAGGCCTTCAGCACCCAGTTCCCTGAGGACCCAAACTGTTGAATGACACAAGTAGAGGCCTGGGTGAGGCCCAGACCCACGAAGCTCAGACTTGGCAGGAAGAGGGGTGGGGCTGGCCGCGGAGTTGCTGGAAAGTTTTGGCCTGGGGACACGGGGAGTGTCCTTTTCTCCCTCTTGGGTGCCCGCCCACCTCCAAGCCCGTCCCCTCGGCTGGTGCCAAGGAATGCAGGGGACAGGCAGCCTGAGAGGCGGGCGGGGCAGCAGAGCCGCAGCCACCCGGAGGCACTGCACAGGTCTGGGATGAGGGGCCTGGGGCTCAGGAGGGGCAGGGACCCTGAGTATCCCCTGGGCACAAGTGTAGTCCTCAGAGAAGACCAGGACCCTAATTCCTTGCCCACTGGATGGCATCCTTCTTCCCGGGAGTTCCCCCAGGGCGGGCTTCAGTGCTTTACCAGGCACCAGGGCTCTCTGCTGGAGGGGGCGCTGAAGCCTCCGCTGGCCTCCAGGTGTCAGGGTCCTTCCTGAGGCCAAGAGAGCACTAGGGGGCCGACTCCAGGGGATGGGTTGAGGAGGGCCCTCTGCTCCAGGCTGAGGCTGACAGCCTCTCCAGTGGGGAGTGAGAAAGGCAGGGCTCTGTGGGGCTCCCTGAGGGAGCCGGGCCAGCCTACCCTGGCCCGGAGGAAGCAGCCCGTGGCCAGCAGCCACCACGCAGGCGCCCCGTCCTGGGCTGAGTAACCAGATCTAGCCTGAGACCGGGGGAAAGAGGCCTGTGGATGGGCTGGTCCCTGACGCTCCCCCACTCTATCTCCAGGTCCACGTGGAGCTGCCGGGCCACCATGCTCAGCCTCAAGCTGCCCCAGCTCCTTCGAGTCCACCAGGTTCCCAGGGTGAGGGCCTCGCCCACCAACCCTCTCTCCCCAGAGGACTGTGGGCGACGTTTTTCTTTGGCTCTTGAGGAGATCCCCCTGCAGCAGTTTCCTGTCCTCCTGTCCCCTCCGAGGAGGCTTGCCCAGCTCTCTGAGCGTGTGCCCCTCCCTAGAGCCCACAGCGCCCCCATTCAGACTCCTCCAGACTGCCCTGTGGCCTCTCCACGCCCATCTTGTCCCCCGTCCTGGCTCTTCTGTTTCTCATCTGTTCTGTGGGTACTGGGGCCATTTAAGATGGGGGTCAGATTTAGTTCGTCTTTGGGGACCCGTGACGTCGCGCGCATCCTCTTCACCGGCTTCCAGAGGTCTTTGGCGGACGGAGCGGGCAGGGCACAGTGACTGCCCCTCTCTCCCTCCACCACGACCCCAGGTGTTCTGGGAAGACGGCATCATGTCGGGCTACCGGCGCCCCACCAGCTCCGCCTTGGACTGTGTCCTCAGCTCCTTCCAAATGACCAACGAGACGGTCAACATCTGGACCCATTTCCTGCCCACCTGGTGAGGGGCGCTCTGCTCGAGGGCGCAGCCTGGGCCGGGAGCGCGGCGCGGGGTGGCGGCCTGAGCCCAGCCCTCCCGCCGCAGGTACTTCCTGTGGCGCCTCCTGGCGCTGCTCGAGGGCCCGGGCTTCCGCGCCGAGCCCTACGACTGGCCCTTGCTCATCTTCCTGCTGCCCGCCTGCCTCTACCCCTTCGCGTCGTGCTGCGCGCACACCTTCAGCTCCATGTCACCCCGCGCGCGTCACATCTGCTACTTCCTGGACTACGGCGCGCTCAGCCTCTACAGCCTGGGTGAGCCGGCGGCGGGTCGCGGAGGGAGGCGGGGCMGGGCGGGAGACCTCCGGAGGCCCGGGCGCGTGGGCCTCAGCTCCGCTCCTGCCGCGCCGCCCCCCGCAGGCTGCGCCTTCCCCTACGCCGCCTACTCCATGCCGGCCTCCTGGCTGCACGGCCGCCTGCACCAGCTCTTTGTGCCCACCGCCGCCTTCAACTCCCTCCTGTGCACCGGCCTCTCCTGCTACTCCCGGTGGGTGCTCCGGCGCCGCCCCCAGGGAAGGGAGGGCGAAGCCAGGCCGAGGGACAGGAGAGGAGAGCTGGGAGGTCACAGGCCAGCCCTTGCGCGCCTGCACATGCCCAGCTGTCTGTTCATTCCACAGCCTCCCAAGAGGCAGGTGTCCTTAGCCCCATTTTACAGACGTGGCCATTTACACAGGAAGACGTGCGACCTAAGAGCTTTCCTAGCCACTAAGCTTCATTGACACCCATTTGGCTCCAGCTCCCCTTGCCCTTCTTGATCCCTGCCGGAGCCAGGAATGGCGACCAGCCTGTCCGTGTCTCCCAGGTTCCCAGAACTAGAAAGTCCTGGGTTCAGCAAGGTTCTCCGCACGGCGGCCTTCGCCTATCCCTTCCTGTTCGACAACCTTCCACTCTTCTACAGGGTAAGGCTGCCGGCCGCCCGGCTTCCTCCTGACCCGTCTCCCCCAGCCCTCTCCCTGCTCTCCAGGCTCAGCACCCTGGCCAGGTCCCAGACCCATCTCCGACTCCGCTCAGAGGCCCTCTCCACCAGCCATGCTTTTCCTTYGCCAGCTGGGGCTGTGCTGGGGCCGGGGTCACAGCTGCGGACAGGAGGCGCTGAGCACCAGCCACAGCTACCATCTCCTCTGTGCCTTGCTCACTGGCTTCCTCTTTGCCTCCCACCTGCCAGAGCGGCTGGCGCCTGGGCGCTTTGACTATATCGGTGAGGATATGCCCCGACGGCCCTGGACAGGGCCAGGGAGACAAATTTCCCAGGGCAGGAGTGAGCTAGGTAGAGATTTCACAGCCCAAGGGTGGACGCAGATGCCAGGAAGGACACACCCGTCCTCTTCCTTGGGCCCATCCTCAGAAACAGCGAAACTAATACACTATGCAGAGGCTTTATGCCAATCAGCTCAGTCCCCCTTCTAATAATTCTGGGAGTCAGGGTTTCTTACAGGGGAGTAGGAGGACAGGTGACTTGCCCTGGGTTACAGAGTGGGTCAGTGAGCCTTGGGAATGGGTGTGTGCCTGACCTGCCCACCCTCCCTCCAGGCCACAGCCACCAGCTATTCCACATCTGTGCAGTGCTGGGCACCCACTTCCAGCTGGAGGCGGTACTAGCTGATATGGGATCACGCAGAACCTGGCTGGCCACCCAGGAACCCCCCCTGGGCCTGCAGGGCACAGTGGCCACCCTGGGCCTGGCAGTGGCTGGGAACCTGTTCATCATTGCTGCCTTCACAGCCTCCCTGCTTCGAGCCCCTGGGACCTGCCCCCTGCTGCAAGGTGGCCCGCCAGAGGGGGGAGCTCAGGCCAAGCAACAGTGAGACTCATCCCTGACCTTGGCCTGGAGGGAGGCAGAGACCAGGACCCAGTGCTTCTGTGGAGCCCAGACCAGGCCTGATAAGGTGGGGGCACATCTGAGCCTGGAGCCAAGAGTAGCTGAGAAGAGAGGGAGGGCAGAAGAGAGGAGGGACAGACGGAGGGAACTGGCAGAGTGSGAGGGCCGTGAGGGGCTCTTGGAAGGAGTGGGTAAGTGCCGAGGGTCTGTGAGGGGAGATGGGAGGAGATGCGTGTGTCCAGGTTGGAGCTGCCCCCGGGCCCTGTTGGGGGCTGAAACAGGGAGTGTCGGGCCCTTTCACCTGGCCCATCTCTGGTGCTCCCCGAAGTCTCCGCTCAGCCCAGAAGAACTGACTTGACTAACCTAGGCCTCTCCTGAATGCTTGTTAACCAGCAAGGGCCACACATTGGCTCCCCACCCCCCAAAACGAGGTAGCACCTTCTTTGCCAGCAGCTTTTTGCCTAGAGATGAGTCTGTCCTGGTCACAGCTGTATACTCAAGATGTCCAGGCCTTCAGGGGCTGGTGTGTTTGCTGTGTCATGGCTGATTCAGTGGACTGGTGTAAGGGGTGCTGGGCCAGAGCTGGGAAGCCTAGTTAGCCTTAGGAAACCACCTTCTATGCTTTCTGGAACAAAGCAGCTACGATAAATAAACAAACAGGACTTCGGGATGCACTTTGTGGGACTGAAGAAGGTGACACTTTCCACTCCATCCGCCAAGCCCCTCCCCCACAGACTGGACAGACTCACAGCCCATCAATTCCTCCTCTGGACTTTATTTTGGACCAGCTGGGATGCCCACACTGGCAGGGCAGAGGGACGGAGGGGGAGGCAAGGGAGCAGTCCTGGTGCAGAGCCAGAGCAGGGCTGCCACGGCCAGCACAGACACCTAGGCCGGGGTCCCGTAGAAGCGCTGGTAGGCGTCCTGGAAGCCGATGTGATCAGCCAGCTCGTCACAGTTCGGGTTGAGCTCACACACCTCCCTCTTGGGCTCCAGGGGATCCGGGTAGGGAGCTGGGGCTCTGAGAAGTCCCACACGGTGGCATCACTCCTCATGCAATATACCCACTCCCTATTCCAACTGCACACGGACTCCAGAGTGCTTACCAGGAGGGACTCCCTGCCCTGTCCCTATTAAAAGCCACTCCCTACCATGGCTCTTCCCAGCACATCTGCAGGTGCAGGGCCCTGCTCAGCATCTCCTACTTACCCCAGCCCATTGTCCACGAAGCGCCTGGGTCTTTTCACCACCTTGTTGCCCTCCTGCTTGGACATGAAGGCTGTGGAACGTGGAGAAGAGGGCAGGGGTCAGGTGGTTCCAGGCTTGGGACAGTAAGCAGGGGAGCAGGCAGGCCTTCCTAACAGGCAGGAGTCAGCGGGCGACAGGGAATGGGAATGAGGGGCGTAGGGCAGAGGGGGTACCAGGAACCTCTACCAGGCCCATACCTGTATCTTTGCCAGACTCTGCACCACTGGGCTTCGCATCTGCAAAGAAAAGGTGCCCAGCTCACCCCTGGCTCACTCCAAGGGCCCTCATCCTCCTTCCCCCACTTCTCTGGTAGCTTGTTCTTCCTGCTTCTCCCTCCACAAGGACAGTGTGGGCCTGCAGAAGGGTGTCGAGACTGGAAGAAAAGGGGAGAAGTGGGGGTACTCACCTGCCCGACCAGCGAGGCAGAGTGCAGCCAGGGCCAGCAGGGCAAGCAGTGTGAGGGTCCTCATGGTGTCCGCTGGCACTGTCAGGATGCTGCTGGAACTGGTCTGCCTCTTCCCGACTCCAGCACTCTTTATACCACCCCAGAGATGAGGGGGCTACGCCCACATGGTCAAGCAGGGCACGGGGAAGCGGCCAGGGCTAATTGGGGGTCATCTGCCCTGGCTCTGTGGGCCAAACCCCAAAGGATACTGTGGTTGGGAGTGATGAAGGAGGACAGCCACAATCAGAGGCTGCCAGGCTCTTGACATCACCCCTGGCCCCTGCCCTAGGGGGCTGCCCAGATCCCTATACCCTTCTCCATTCTGTTGAGACCGCAGCCTCCGCCCGAGTCCTGGCTGGGATCTAAGTGGAACCGAGAGAGGAAGGGGGTGCTCAGGTCTAAAATAGGCTCCAGAGCTCCAGCTCTCTCAAGGCCTATGATTTGCACTGTCTGCCCGGGGGGCAGGAGCCAAACCTAGCAATGGCCTCATCCACCCAGCAGACATCAAAGGCAGGCGTGGTGTGGGCCACTCAACTGCTTCAGGAACAGAAGGGGTCAGGGCAGCACAGGTCCAAGAGTCAAAGCCAACAGAAACAGTAGGGCTGGGTGTATGAGGACAGCCTCTCCATTTCTGGGCAGGCCAGGTGGCTAGTAAGTTCCAGGTATGAAAGGGCACTGTGGTGGGGGACCCAGCAGGGAGGGCCTTGAGGAGTGTAATACAGAATGCATCTCTGGGCTCCTGACCCTCCGATTCTCCTCCTACCCCTGCAGCCTCCCCAAGGTTAACAGCCTCAGGGAGGGACCTGCCTCTCCCAGTCCACCAGGAAGGCCCACAGGTCCCAGCCTGAAAACCCCAGCCCACACCTGAGAGCTGCCACTGCCTCCAGCCAGCCTAGCGAGGAAGGGTGGCCCGGCTCCTTCCCCCGGCTGACCTGTGTCCTCACTCACACCCCTCCGGGCTGGAGGCCGCCTGCCCTCTCTGACAAGTACACACAGCACTCGGTGAGGTGGCTGAGCAGGATGGAGGCAGCTGGATTATTAATGCCACAGCTCCACAGGGCAGAGGAGGGCAGAGGGAAAGATGAAGCTTGGGCTGTTGGTGGGGAAAGAGATTAAAGCAGGAGCCACTCTGATGTCTTCCAATCTGTCCCCAGTGCTTCTGAGACAGACCCAAACCAAGCTTCTGTCCAAGGGGCTAGGGTGTGGCCCATACCAGGGCAAAAAGCTTTGCCCTCCACCCAAAAACGTCCCCCTTCCTCTCCGGTCCTGGTGGCCCTGGCTGGAGAAGAGCTCGGTGGAGAAGCAGTCATGAGTCACATTGTCCTGAGGCCCAGCTATCCCGGAGGCCTCCACCATGGACACTTAATCCAAATGTCAAAGAGAAGGTAGGGTAGGACGAAGAGTGACATACCCTTGACAGCTCATCCTGACTTTGGGGGACCCAGGTGTCCCACTTTCTGTGAAAACGGGCTCTGCTGCCCGTTGGCACATGATGGTCACATACAACTGCCCCATCCAGCCTGGACTGACCATGCCCTTGCCTAAAGCTGGAGCTTGGGGACCCAGAAGTGATCTTGGCCCAACAGACGCCAGGCAAGGAAGCATCCTCACAGATTACAGTGCAGAGGAGGATGTTTATTTACGGATGTGGGGAGAACATGGCAAGCAACCTTGGGCTGGCCAGCAAGGGGACAATCAGTGAAATTGAAAACACATTCCCTAAGGGATGAGGTGGTAGGGTGCAGAGCAGCCTGCAGGAGAGCGCTGGGGGTGGTGCTGGCCCGCACCTGAAGGAGAAAGAGTCTGGCCCAGACTCCACGTTGGGCCACCATCTCTGGGCAGAAGGGAGGAGTCTGAAGGTAGTACATGTGACCCCGGGGGAGCCTCACAGCACTGCAGCAGTGGGGCTTGCTCGGGCCTGATCCTCCATCACTGCCTGGAGATTGGCACCATTTCAGCTGTCCTCAAAGGCAGCCCGCCCAGGCGCAGCATGCCGACCACAGCCGTCGACCTTGACTGCCCTCTGCTCTCAGCCACAGGCTCCGCCTCACTCTGGCTCCCTCAGAATGGCCACCAGTTCCCGCTGTTCTCCATGCAGAGCCTGAAATCAGCAGGAGATAATAGCTTCACAGGCTATGAGGAAACCAAGCCCTTTCTCTTCTGAGCTGAACTGGCGTGGGTTTCCCCTAGGGCCATGTGACTCATTACTGGCCCAGGAAGGCGCATYAGGACAAAGATAGGCAGGAAGTCTACCACTCAACGGTACTGATGGTGGGCTGGGTACCAAGGACACCTAGGCTAGGCCTCCCCAGGGCAGAGTTCATTTTCTTTTTCGGTACTGGAAATTTAACCCAGAGGCAATTTGTCACTGGGCCACATCCCCAGTACTTTTTGTTTTTTGTTTTTACTTTTTATAATTTCTTTAACTTTTTTGAGCCAATAAGAAACCCCATTTCATCACTGAAAACCCCATTTCATTGCCTGCCAGCTGTGTTAGCCAGCTTGATCACTCTACCCTTTCTATCCTCAGTCACTTGGGCCACTTTCAAAAATTAAGTTCATCTTCAAAGGACATACACTGTTGCTGGAGAATGAGTTCCAGATGTACTGAGGGCTCTAGAAGTCATTCCAGTGTGCACATTTTGAAGATACTGTCTATGTTCCCAGGGAGAAGTACAATGACCATTTCCTGGGACACACCTCTGCCCTCTCTGGGCCTCAGCCATGGCAGCAGGGAATCCATGCTGCAGTTAGAGGTTAGCAGGGGCAAGGTGGGCAGCAGCCCATCTGCTATGGTGGGAGAAGCCTGCTGCACACATCCAAGCAGAAGTGATGAGTGACTCTACCACCATAGGAGGCCCCTCCTGCCTCTGGGGTCCCTTATGTTGGAAGGGGATCTCCGAGGGCCTATCAGGGATGAAGGGGAAAGCAGACAGGGCTGGACACTTGCCTGCCAGGCCTGCTGCCGGGCCTGGATCTGCAGCTGCATCTCCTCCAACTGCCTGCGCCCAGCCAGGATGGCATCGGCCAGCTCTCTGTTCTTGGCCTCCTGTTTCTGCACATGGCACCGCAAGGTGTCCCGTTGCTGCAGGAAGTAGGGTGCCATGGTGCTGCACAGGTCTTTCTCTGGGATCCCACTGGGGCGCCTGAAGGGTCACGTGGGGGATAGAGAGGGAGGGACAATGTGTGGGAGGGTTCTACTTCCAAACCAAATCACTGACGTCCCCACCCCAGTCCCAAGTTGGGCTGGCTCCCTAGATCTCTCCCTCTTACCTCCCAAGCCCTGCTCCTGATGGGAACACCGCCCGCCCCAGGCCCGCTGCCACCAGCCTTCCACCCCACACTCCACATTCTCCTCTCTCCCACACACTCCCCCATCTTCAGGTCTAGAGGTGACTTCCCAGCCTCTGCCACTGTCCTTGTGAACATGTGTCCTGCTTGTGTATCACCCTATCAGGCTGGGAGCTGGAGAGATGGGGTTGTGACAAGATGAGACTTCACAGTAGGGTGGCTCTGGAGAGAGGACCCAGACCTTGAGGCTGGATGACRTGAGAAGATAAGGAGAGAGGGTCTAAGGAGGCAAGATCATACAGGGAGCAGGCACCACTGTAGGTTCTTCTAAAAATTCTTTTTTTGTTTTGCTACTTGAGATTGAACCCATGGGTGCTTAACCACTGAGCCACATAACCTCCCAGCCCTTTTTATTTTGAGATAGGGTCTTGCTTTGTTGCTGAAGCTGGCCTTGAACTTGTGGAGCCACTGAAATTCTAGGCATGTGCCAACATATGGCTTAAAAATTCTTTTTTAGTTGTAAAATTTCATTCTTTTAAGAATTAAGGTCACGGGCTGGGGTGGTAGCTCAGAGGTAGAGTGCTTGCCTGGCATGTGTGAGGCTCTGGGTTCAATTCTCAGCACCACAAAAATAAATAAGTAAAAGAAATAAAAGTGTTATGTCCGTCTACAACTAAAAAAATATTAAAAAAAAAAAAAAAAAGAAGAAAAAGAAGTAAGGTCACAAAGCGCAAGAATGGTATCTCTCCCCTCTGGCCTGAGGTCCTGTGAGGGCAGAGGTAGTGGAAGGCTGCGGTGGTCTTGACGGCCTCTCTCTCCACTCTGCGCTCAAGGCCTTACTTCTTCCTCCGGTTCATGGCACTCCAGGCTGCCAAGCTGCCCACTGAACTGTCACTTGCAGAGTGTCACTTGTTCACTGCCACATCACTGGCTTCTAAAACAGTATTTAGCGTGTAGTAGGTGCCCCCTAAATGTGTGTTGAATAAACCAATGACTCAAAGCCAGTGCCTGGCCAGCCTAACCTACGTAGGATTCCCAATTTCATTGCTCGGCATCCTCTGTCCCTCCCCTCCTTCCTCCCACAGGCCCAACAAGCCCTGAAATGACCTCTCAAAGGCCTCTTCAGTCCGACCTCCAAACCACTTCCCTCCGGAACCCCTGGATAACATGCACTTGCCCTGGGGCTCTCCTCCCAGGAGGGAACTCTGCATTTCAACTGTTTTTGGTTATTGTTTGGTGTTGTCCCTGTCAAAGGGTCCTCTCTCAGGGCTATATAGAGCCCAGTGTCTCAGATATGGGGTCAGCCTCAGAGTCTCCTACCAGAAACTGAAGTGTGGTCCCTWCCCGCTCCTTTCTCACCAGGCTGGCTCCGTGCAGTCTTTGCCTTCTTCCACAATTTTATCCAAGGAATTCAAGACAGCTTCTAGGTTCCCTTCTTTTTTAATTTCTGAAATTTCCTCCTGAAGAGAAAGGAGGAAAAAACTGAATGATACTAGACAAGCCCAGAGTAGAAATACACTAAATTCTGGCTCATTTCTGCCCCCCCAACCCCCATGGTACTGGGGATTGAACCCAGGGGTGCTATACCACCAAGCTACATCCCCAGTCTTTTTGAGACAGTGTCTTTCTAAGTTGCTGAGGCTGGCCTTGAACTTGTGATCCTCCTGCCTTATCTCCCCAGTTACCGGGGTTACCGAAGTGTACCATCATGCCTGGCTAACATGTGACATTTATACTTAGGAAAATAAAATATAGGGACTGGGGTGGTGGCTTAGCACAGTGCTCACCTAGCACATGTGAGGCACTGGGTTCGATGCTCAGCACCACATAAAAAATAAATAAAGGTTTTGTGTCTGACTACAACTTTATATATAATATATATATTTTWAAAAGGAAATAAAATATAATATGGCAAAC